ACAGCAAAAACGGCCCGGAACATGCCAAAAAAGTGGCAAAAAACACTGCACTTTGTGTGCAGAAACTCATGCAGATCTGGTCTGCATTTGGTGTGAACAAACCCTAAATAAAGATTTTTACTTTTTTGTATATGCACAAATTGCCTAATTCTGGGTATTTGCATTTAAATACATTATTTATTTTTATGGAGAATTTTGATACTTTGATGTATTGTATCCTCACATGATAATTGACATTTAGTATCTCCTGTATAGAAACGTTTAATATACCCTAAGGCCCCCTTCACACCTAAGCTGTTTGCGCTCATAAATCAGTGCGACAAACAGCTCAACACTAGGAATCCCATTCATGTCTATGACCCCAGTGCACATGTCAGGGTTTTGTCACAAGCAGAAATACGCCTGTCGCATAAAATACTTCATGAGCTACTTTGGGGCTGATCGAAAACCGCAAGTTGCGATTATTTGCGCGCGTATTACGTGCGTTTTGCTAAATGACATGAACGTGCCAAAATCTGCTCACAAAAACAAGCGACTTAACATCTGCTCCTAAAACGCATGCAAAAACCTGTAAAAAATTATGCTCGTAAAATAGGTGTCGCTTGGGTGAATCCAGCCTTAGTTGTGTCCGCAATACAGAATATCAAACATCTTGTTACTGATGAGGAGGTTGATGAATTCCAGTTGTTTTAGGCCAGGTTCTGAACTCAGTGCATTGCGTTTTGCCACGTTTATGCACAATTTTACAGAGATTTTGCTGCGTTTCCGAGCATTTTTTTGCTTTTTTTTAAATCTTAAAATGTGCGCTCCATTACATTCCAGTGCGTTTTGATGCATTTCTAAGCGTTCCAGTACATTCCAGACCAGACAAAATGAGACATGAAGTATTTTTCTGGCCTGGTCTGGAACGGACTGTGCTGGTGTGAACAGAAGCCAGAAATAACATAAGGGTTACATTAGGATGCATTTTGGGTCCAGAAACAATCTTGTCTGGTCTGGAGATGATGTGCATGTGAATGGGCCCTTAGACTGATATGTGTGTAAGAGAATCCCATAACCTAGAACCTTCCACTCTATGACTGAGCTCATTGCGAGTGAACCTAGAGGTGAAAACTTGTTTACAGGTTGTGTTAAAAGACGCAAGGACACTTCTTGAGGTTAGAAGGAAAGAGGCTTAATCATTACATCAACATCAGTAGTTGCCTGTGTTTTAAAACAGGGGCTTGTAAAGTGGATATTGCTGGGCAGGGCAATTGCATTCCTGAATCTAAAAAATTTATATCTTGGATGTGTTTGTTAACTTATTACAAAGGACTTTGTCTGCTGTGTACTTCATAATATGACCATGTTGCCATTAAGCGACACAAACCCCTCAACTGTTTTCTCCTTATACACATCTACACAATGAACATTCTCCAAAGCCACATTTATGTTTTATAATAAAGTCTTATTATTTGAATCCCTTTAGAAAGTCTGCTATGCTCGCTCCCGTGTCTCTTCTCTCCCCTCACACTTCCTGTCCCTTAGTAAGAGCCGTGCACGTTGATTCTGATCACGTGCACATCTTTCTTTGCCTACAACTCCCATGAGGGCACCAATTGCAGTAGCTTCTGGAATGCACCGAGATCGCTCACAAAAGTTCCCCCTGCGTTCTGGGGCAGGAGGGGACGTGGCGGTGCATTGAAGTCAATGGCACCGCAGCCATGCCCCACCACCCGCAGTGTGAAAGGACATGTGGCAATACATTGCCTGCGTTCCGCTCCACTGCAAACACAAAAAATAGAGCAAGCAGTATTTCTTTGCGTTTGCAGTGGAACGCAACGCAGGCAATGTTTTGCCACGCGTCTGATCGCACTGCGGGCGGGGCTGCGATGCCATTGACCTTAATGCACCACCATGCCCCCTCCTCCCACCCCCAGAACAAAGGGGGACGTTTTGTGAGCGATTGTGATGCGTTCCAGCAGCTACCGCTCTGTACCGCCATTGCTGTGAACAAGCCCTCAGGCAGAGAGGAATCATCTCTCACTGAACACAGCTGCCCCCTCTATACATACTGTGACAGTGTCACTGCTTGTAATCTCCTCTGCAATGCTCTGAATTATCAAAACTACTGACAACAAATCTACAACAATCAATCAAATTTACAACAATCTACACAGAAAAACATTTTAAATGTCGGAGCCGTCTCCTCTGTGACTGTGTGACCAGATCCAGCATGTGAGCTGAGACTCAGAAGAAAGTAGGAGGCTGGTGACAGCTCACATGGTGAATCTCCTCCCCCCACACTCCCTCCTTGGTGAGCCAAGGGGGAGAGAAATCACAGATCATATATTTGTGTGGGAGAAATGAAGAAATCCCAGGTCCTTGCAGAGTCCAGAGGGGAGGATATGTAGGCGGAGACTGAGAAGACACGCCCCCAGCATGTTGTAGTCCTTCACCAGCACAGAGGGTGACTACTTTTCAGCTCCCATAGGGACCATGGAGAAGAAAAGTGGCCACCCTCTGGCAGGAAATTGTGGCTGGGGAGAAATAAAATGGATTTTGGAGCATTTAGAGCTAACCACTGACAACAAAAGGTGCACAGTCATGTATTATTTATATAATAGAAGTTATTTTTATTATTTCATTTCTGAGTTTTGAATAATCTCAGAATTGCCTCAAGCAGATACCATACAAGCCTAAAACCTGTTATCAAAGGCCCTAAGTCACATTATCAAGAATGATTTACAAGATATTAATTCAGAGTTTCTATATTTACATAGAATGTTATAGCTTTACAATTCAATTACTTTGCTTTCAGTGCAGTGTTGCTTAAAACTGAACTTGGGGGCAGGTATATAAGACAGTGAGGGGAATTTTTCAAAACTGGAGCAGACAAAAACTGGAGCAGCTGTGCATGGCAACCAATCAGCTTCTCTCTTTCATTTTCAAAACCTAACTGAACAAACTGAAGAGAGAAGCTGATTGGTAGCCATGCGCATCTGCTCCAGTTTTTGTCTGCTCCAGTTTTGATAAATTCCCCTCATCGTATTCTATATTTCATACATTCTTCAATGTGTTTTAAAATGCAAACAGTGTTAGTACCTGAATCTGATTTGCTATCAATCTCTTGCAGTCCCTATACAGCAGATGTAGGCTGGGAGAGGAAGAAGCAGTACAAGGAGCCAATCAGTTGTATTGCAATACTCATGTGCTAACAAGGAACATGCTTGTAGGAGGAAGGAGTAGAGTGAGAGAATGAGGAGCTAATCAGTCTGCTGCTTCTCCTTTCACTGTCTAGTTACCTGGAGTTCAGCTTTAAAGACTGTTTCATGTTTGACGTCACTACTCCATACTGCACTTCCTGTAAATACTACCCTTGTGAAATCTTTAAACAACTTGTAGTAGCACAGAGGGCTGTCCGCTCACCTGTACTTCTTGACCTACCATGTTATGATGAGATTATTATTATTATACAGGATTTATATAGAGATTGAGTGTACCCACTGTTCACCTGGAGTGAGTTTTCCCACCACACCTGCAATTCTAATGTTAAGTGATGGGAGCACTCTGCAATGCTCTGAGTTGTCTACTTCTTACATTCAGAGCCTCTTGAAGGTCACCCACAAGTTAAAACTAAGTCTTGCTAAATACTCAATGCTTTACAGCTCTACATTAAACTAATAAAGCATGTGCAATAAGGTCTCATTGGTTGTTGCTAGGGTTTTAGGACAGGGATTGTAAAGTGAATATCACTGGGTCACTGATTATAATCCTGCAATTAAAACATAAGCATAAAAAAATTAAGCATATTGTCATTTATGACACCAGCGACTTTACTGCATGCTCCATATAATGGTCATGTTTCCCACTGATAATATTTTAAAGCTAACTATAGACTATTTTAAAAAAAATGAATAATATATTTACAAATTATGAACTTAAGTAAGTAAGTACTCTTAGTGTGTGTGTGTATGTGTATGTGTGTGTGTGTGTGACCTATTTTCTGTTTCTAGCTATCTGTGGGTCTGGTCTGACCTTATTGAAAACAATAGACTCTTTATAAGGATACATGAACTTATGTTAGGAGTCTTTATGCATTGATGCTGATCTTTTTCCCAGGTGTACAGCCGAGTGCTAATGGTAAATATTAACAATTGGACTTATTTGTAATTTGGGGATTTCCGCTCCTAGTTACAAAAACTTGTTTGACCCTGTACCCCGAAGTAGTGTTCATCTGCCAATCCCTTAGTTTGGGTTTTAGTGGGTTTGAGGCAATTACATTGAGCTGCAAAATGCCAACAGGGGACTAGTACTCTGTGGGTGCAGGAGTTGGATAATAGAGTGACAGTGATTTTAGAGAGGTGGGTGCAGCAACTTTGAATTTTATATTTCTTAATCTGCAGAACAGTTATGAGTAATATTTGGCATTAAGACCCTGTAGTCCCTAACAATTCCCAACCGGGTGAGGTAAAGAATAGGTAATTGTATAAACGTAGAACATTAAGGCCCCTTTCACATGGATGCCTGTCAGTTCAATCCAATCAGCAGAGAATCTGTGCACGGATCCCCTGCTGTATGGAGCAGTATGGAACGGATGTCACTATTATGACATCTGTGTCTGTCCAGTTTTTCCCTCCATCTTAATTATGGAGGAAAAAACAGAACTTATCAGACCCATCCTAGGTCTATGGGGAGTCAGATGTAAGCAAGCATGTCACTCGTTTACATTCCAATCTGTCACCATCGGGTCCACCAAAAGGAAACTCTGTTCCATTTTGTTTTTAGGCCCTAGATGGAGTGTGGGGTAAGCGGATGTAAACAGACGCACAATTATATAGATCCAGCTGCCCATAGGTTAACATTGAGCTTCTGATCTGATCCACTTGAAAAGCTGACAGGCAGACCTGATCACAGTACCCGTCTGAAAGGGGCCTTATAATAAATAATTAATTAAATAAGTGCAGGAACTGGATATTTCTGTATTCTTGTAAAACTTACTGTTTTTGCTTTGCTTATAGGTTTTCGTGGAGACTTTGGATAAATGTTTTGAAAATGTATGTGAACTGGACTTGATCTTTAATGTGGATAAGGTGAGTCCCAGAGAACTATTTTTTGTTGCCCCTCAAAATCCATCAAATAAGTAAATAATGTACAGATGTAAAAAAAAAATGCCATTAGTCCCATACCTGTCATGAATGTTCTACCAATATATCTTTATTCACTAATGTAAAATGTAACAGCAAATTTGTGTTCTGGCACTACACACTATTGGACCTGGACACACCCTTCATAAATGACCACTAATTAAAAGAGGGTCATATAGGGATACGTGAAACAAAATCACCATTAGACACAGGTCCTGTTATTAACAAAGATCCTCCCCTAAATGTATACAATAAAACCAGAAGGAAGAAACATCCATCAAAAGACCAATTTATAAACCTTCTGCCCAGCCATATGCCATATTCTTCCTAAACTGGACTTGGGAGGGAGGAAACATGTCCTAAACAACCAGCTAGATCAGACATCTGTCAGCCCTATCCAGCCCTATTTTGCACCTGTAGGCTTTCCGAGGTAAATGTGCAAAATAGTAACTTTCTGATTGTTGCAGTTTACATAAGCATATGCCTCCGTCTGCACAGGACAGTGCCGGGATACGCTAATGGAATATGTGGGCTCTGTAGATTGCATTGCAGAATAAGAGCATGGGTCAGGTGTATTGTCCACTAACAGGATGTAGAGTCTAGGGCTGCAACTAACAATTATTTTTATAATTGATTAGTTGGCCGATTAATTTTTTCGATTAATCGGTTAAAGAAAGTGTCCCTTATTCACTTAGCTCATACACAGAATTCCCCAGTCCTACTCTTGTCTACAGACGCCGAAAAAGCATTTGACAGAGTGGACTGGGGATTCATGTTCTCCACGCTGACCTCCCTGGGCATTGGTCCCCGGATGTTAGCGTGGATAACCGCACTGTACTCCTTCCCAACCGCCAGAGTCAAAGTGAACGGCATATTGTCCCCCTCCTTTTCGCTGCACAATGGCACACGCCAGGGCTGCCCTCTCTCGCCGCTGTTGTTTGTTCTCTCCCTTGAACCCTTTTTATCCACTATACGTAATAATCCTAACATCCATGGCATACCCTCTCCAACCTTGGAGTACAAAACTGCAGCATATGCGGACGACATCCTTTTTTATGTTCGTGACCCTCGTATCTCACTTCCGCATATACTGTCTGAATTGCGTACTTATGGGGAACTATCCAATTTCAAGATCAATATGGGCAAGTCAGAGATTTTGAACATAACAAACTCAGGACGAATATGTCTCAATGCTATCCGCGTGATATGGTCTGCTTTAAAACCTGTTATTCTATTTTATTTAATTTAATTATTATTTTTTTTTTTATTAGTAACTCTGTAAAACTGGCGATTGTCTTTTACCCTAATACACTACGCTTCCGGTAAAATGATTGCCAAGTTCCAGTGAGGGGCCCCATCACTGTATTGTTATGCACTGTTTTGCCACATGCCTGAATGCGCATATTGCGCCACGCTTATTTCAAAAGCGCCCCGACCAGGGGACCAACCCCCCCCTCCCTTGTATCCCTGCGTCTCTTGTCCCCCCTTTTACCTTAGATATCGTATGTAATGTGATTGTCTTAATGTATGCTTAATGTATTGTATGTGTGTTTTTTTTTGTTATATTTTGAAAATCTTTAATAAACATTTAATATGGAAAAAAAAAAAAATAAAGAAAGAAAGAAAATTAAATACCATCTTTTATTTAGAATGAAATACCCAAATGGAGTGTTACAAAGTTTACTTCAGAATAAAACTGCATGCACATTTTTTGCACTGGCATTGCAGTACCGTAAGTTCCGGTGCGGGGCGATCACAATGCGGGCGGGAGGCGCATTTGAGGGGCCATTGAATGGCATACCTGATATGTGTAGTGCAATCGTCGTTTTCATATGTAGGTGCACCCAACTTGTGTTTCTGTTAGTATGCGTGCTTTTGCGGGGTCGGGGGACTTTTTTGGGGGTATTTTTATTTAACTTTTATTTTTTAAATTGTTTTTATTTAACTTCATTGCTATCACATGGGTGAGCTCACAAGCCCCTTATGTGACAGCACATTTGAGATGACAGATTCTCTTAGACCCTGAGTGTCACCTTTCCACTTCACTGAGGAATGTCAGCTGCCTGTTGAGGCAGCTGAATGTAAAAACAGCATGCAGTGGCTGGGAGAAATAGCCAGCCTCCTATTGGCTAATTTAAATGACAATAGCCAATAGCAGGCTGGCTATTGCACCCGCCTACTGCCTGCTGCCAATCAGCAGAGGAGGGAACTGGAGGAGAAAGTTCTCCTTCAGGTCCTCCTCTGCTGATTGACAGCATGCAGTGGGCAGGTGCAGTAGCCAGCCTGCTATTGGCTATTGCAATCTGAAATATCCAATAGCAAGCTGGCTACTTTTTCCAGCCGCTGATTGGAGACTTGACGCCGGTGTTCTATCAGTCCCTCGGACTCGAGCCTGAGGGATTGATAGTTCAATATGTCCCATCGCACTCCTGACCGGAGAAAAATCCAATAACAGGGTAGGTGCAGCAATGACAGCAGATGTCTCCGCAAATCACATGAAGTCAGCAGAAAGTTACTCGCACTCCAACGTAATGCCCAGTCAATTTCTTTATTGACTAAGATGGTATAACATCTCCAAGCTTGGAAATGTTATACCACCTTAGTCAATAAAGAGATTGGCTGGGCATTACGTTGGAGTGCAAGTGACTTTTTGCTGACTTCTTGAGGGATTGATAGAACACCGGCAGAATAGGGGGCACGGGGGAGCAAGGAAACGGGGCGGACGGGGGAGCAAGGAAACGGGGCGGGCCGGGGAGGATAAACAGAGTGGGCGGACAGTGGAGGAACGAGTGGGGCAGAGGAGGAGGAATGGAGTAGCAGTGGAGGTCTCTTCTCCCCGCTGGTGCCGGGTGCAGTGGTCTGTGTTGTGCCGATACAGGCGGGGAGAGCAGCGGGGATTGAAATTGACACAGACCACTGCAGCCAGCGCCAGGAGGAGCGAAGTGGCGTTGGGGGAATCAACTAATCGATAATGAGAATCATTGATGATTCTCATTATTGATTATAATCGATTTTATCAGTTAGTTGTTTCAGCCCTAGTAGAGTCACGTCAGGGGGTGTTGCAAACGGCATTTGAAGTAACAAGGAAAGTGATATGTGCTTACAACCTACGCTGTCAGCAATGTGGTCCTGCTGGTACCTTAGAGTTTTTATCTCCCTATAGAATAAGCTAATACAGCTTTCTGGTTTGGATGGTGTTTTTTTTTTTTTTAATCATTTTTGTGGCATCATTGCTTTTTACACAAACATTGCCTTGTCATTGTAATCCCATTAACCCACCTCAGTGCTTCACCACAAGCGCATCTTGATCTGTAATAAAGCAATATAACGATCTGCTAAACCTGATATCATATACAGCATCCATTAAAAATGAAATAGCAGGTTAAATGCCATGTAAATTGCTTTATGTTGTGTTGTTTTCTTTTATGGCGCGCTATAATCCTTTTGCTTCCAAGATAAGAAAAATAATGAAATGCATAGTAAGTAAATAAAATGTCAGCAAATTTTTTTTTTTTACTGTTTCTGTATATACTCTATTGGTACTTGGTATGTTAACATGACATCATTAAACTAATTTGTTGGCAAAATTTTATAAACAGAAAATAAATTAGGAGTTACTTGGTAACAACTGTTGCCCAGCTACAGCTACTTTTGTTTAGTTTAGGGCTAGGGGTTAGTTGCAAGTTTGAGTTGATGGAGAGTAGGACCGAAACTTTAGCTCTTCAAGGTTTGCTGGATGGGTTAGCTAAATGGCCAGATGTGTGCTGTTTGCCTGCCCGGACCTTTGGCTGCTGCTGTCGCCAGAAGTTATTCAGTTAGTGGGCATATTACTACCGCAACTAAATGAATGACTTCCCCCACCTGCTCACTGGCCTGTTTACATTGTAGATTAGCCAGCAGGTATCCCCGGGTGACATCATTGACCAAATATGGGAATGACCATATTTATTCAATGACATCACACAGCATCACCGGCTGGCTTGTTGACATTCAGCTTCCGGACAGGTAGCTGTCAGTTGCAACGGGAGTCTATCAGAAGCATGATTGTCATGTGTCCACAGTCATTGTATTTTTGTTGACAGGTCATCCAGGCTTCATTCATTGTGACTGACAATGGATCTACATACCTGGACAACTTGATTGATGTTGGATCTACATTGTAGGACATTTATTTTGGGCTCAGAGAGAGGTGGAGACATGATGACCTGTCAACACAAAAGTGACAACCCATGCTATTGATTTTCTTCTAGTGGGGGATATCTGGGGTCCCCTTTTCTAAAAGGGGCTTCCAGACCCACATTCTCTTGGGGACCAGATCTGGGTATTAGGAAACCACATAATGTGCAGCTCCAAGGTGTCCCCCAAGCATGTTATTTAAAGAAATTATGTATTTTCAATTTTACCTTCAGGCAGGTCTTATTTAAAAAACTGCTTCCCGCTGAACAGTATTTTTTGTAAGTATGTTTTGCATCGGTTCATGTTCCTCATGGCAGTGCCCAGCTACCTTTGCATTCCCCCCCCCCCAAATTTTGCAAACAGGCCCTTTAAAATTGTTCAGTGAACATCCAGCAAACTGACATTTGCTTGGTTTGCTCAGAGAAGAGTTAGAATGTTTCTCAGGTTATCATTGCTGCTCGTGCCCCATTAGGGTAATTTCTGCTCACTCCCTGACTGAGTGACACTCCTGTCATATCTTGGAACGCCAGGTGTTACCAGGACAGGGGTAAAGGCAAATCTGCCCAATGCATACTCTGACAGCAGTAAATACCTGACAGTGGTTCTGGCCCTTAACCACTTTATACAAAACAAAATAAAGGTTTTGGGCTGGAGTTTGGCTCTAAAGCACCACTTTAGTTTAGGTTCATTATTATTATTATACAGGATTTATACAGCGCCAACAGTTTGTGCAGCGCTTTACAATATAAGTAAGACATTACAATACAAGA